GCTCCAGCCTGCTCCTGTCCGTCTGCAGCAGTGCTCGGCCATCGTGCCTCAATAACCGCTTGCCGCTGCTTCAGCCTGCTGAAACCCAGTGTAGTGACTAGAACCCCCAACACAAACCAAACCACACCACTGGCATTTACTGACCCGAATTCAGATGTGTCGACGACATGAATGCGAAGCATTTTCTGAAAGCTCTTCCAAGAAAGCCACCGGTGTGTGTGTGTGTGTGTGTGTATGTGTGTGTGTGTGTGTGTGTGTGTGTGTGTGTGTGTGTGTGTGTGTGTGTGTGTGTGTGTGTGTGTGTGTGTGTGTGTGTGTGTGTGTGTTCTTGTTATCTCCCACTAGAAGCGTGCTAATCTCAGTTCATCACCAAGATGTAAGAATACCAAAAAGAAAACTTAAGACTGCATGAGACGTGAAACATTCCACACATTATCTCAAAAGAACATCGGCATTTCCCTGCGACCCTGTATCGAATCTCCTAGACAAAGGGGACGCGTGTCTGATCAAAGACTGACGTGGATTATCATACGTGGTGATCATGTATATAATGCGCCACGTCGCTGGTCTAAATCAAACAAATGAAGGTGGTTTATTGCAGCTCTGTCATGACAGCGTTGATGGCTGCAATAATTCCTGGGACTTATTCGGGTGGTCAACCAATATTTAATTCTCGGTCTTATGTAGACAAAATAACAGACACCTCTCTGTAAGCATGTCTGGGTAAGTCGATGTATGAGTCTTATCGCGAAGCGTTGCGCCAAGTCAGTAGGCAAAGGCAACATTTGGCTTTGTGGTCCAGATGAATGAAGCTATACTCGTAAGACAGAGGCAGTTGGTATGAGTGGTGGAGTGGAGTGCCCAGAGTGGTTGCATTATTTGGGCCAACTGAAATGGGAAGGTCAGCCGGCAACGGGCCAGCGAGGATCGAGCCAGGTCCGGGGCGGCCGTGGCGCGGCACTGTGTGGCAACATTGTGCAGCACGTAAAACCCCGCGGTCCTGTCTGGCGAAAGGGCGGAGGTAAAACTTTTCGTTGAACTGGGCGGAAAAAAACTTGGGTGGTGGGTGCAGGGCACAAGCAGGTGCAACAGCAGCAGCAGCAGCAGCAGCAGCAGTAGCAAGCGTAATAGCATGCAAGCATGTGGTTTGAACCGAAAGCCACCCATATAAACCACGTATAGCGATTTTTCAAGAGGTTTGTCAAGTTCAGTTCTTCTAGCTCTACCAAACGAACAATGGTATTAGACCTGCTATATAAAAACATGCCTCCATCCAGGAAAAAACAGTAGTAAGAGCCTTATTCCTCGAAGAAAAATCAGGAAAATGGATATAACGATTAGTTGATATTTCGGCAACATGCCTTATCAAAGCAAAGTTCTTTACCGGAAGATGTTCAAAAATCTAGACCGCGTTGGGGGATGGGTGGTAGAAAGCGGGACACGTCCTGAGACACGTCCGCCACGAGAGAGACGAGAGAAAGAGAACACGTCCTGTCGGGCGTCGGATTCTTAATGCCGACTTGCATAGAGGAGCACTTGCTTTGGAAAATCCAACATATCGTTAGAAAATCAATACCGCGCGTTCGCGTAGCTTGGAAAAACGTCACTAAGCTAAAAAAGTATCTGGTGAATTCTTCTATCTCGAAGCCTAAGTGCTCGGGTGGCATTAAATGCTATTTACGCAAGTCTGGGTTTCAGGGTATTTGCAGGAAAAAACATGGTTTTGCAGTTTACGTAAAATCTGTGTGAAAAACGTTAAACACAAAGTCTATGTCGGCAGTCTACGCGTCCCATTCGTTTGAGATATGACAAACATCCGCGAGACGCTAAAAACAAACCACAGGATGCACCTCTCGGTGACCTTTCTTTTTGGCAAAACACGCTGAAGTTGAAATCCAGGGAGGTAGGGACCCTATGCCCCTTTTAGAGCTGAAATTTATCTATACAGCACTTGCCCATCCAGATAGGAAAATACGTAAATTTATTTTTATAAAAGTCGGCGACCAAATCTTAACTTACAGGACTCGTCATGGCCGATTCGGCGAGCGTGATATGTACCTTGCTGTGTGATGCATGCTAGCTTAGCACTGTCGACATGTGCAAGTGATGGATGGCGCGTAATGCGCGGTGCCTGTTTGATCAAAATTGTGTGCATGCTTAACTGACCCACGATGTGTGATGCTTGTTTAATTGAACTCGCTTGCATGTTTGAATGAAGCGTGATGCGTGATCTCTATTTACTTTCATTTGGACGCGTATTTTTACGTGTTATAATTCTTGTGTAGATGCGCACTGTATCGTAGACATGACTAGCATTGCTCCTTGTTTTATTCCCTGAATGCTGGTAAACTGTAAAATGTGTGGGCCGCTGTTTCAAAGGAAACCTGAAAATCGAATGGCGACATCCGCAGGCAGTTCTGGATATACTTTTATTTAGTTCCGACGAATGCATGTTGCTGAAATATGAACGCATCTTTATCTCCATTCTCCTGTTTTTTATACTAGGAAAAAAACTATTGCTACTCTCTTATCTTTGTGCACGTTTTTCCGCGCAAATGCAAGAATTTTAACGACTAATTGGTAAGACATTCCGTACAATGCTTTCAAGATTTGACGCTGATAACAATCAGCCACGAACCCAGAACCAGAGATCATGTACAGCAGCGCGCAGCTTGCATGTCGGTGCTAGCGAGAACTGTCAGAGTCAGGGTCAGAGAACTGTCAGAGTCAACTCCAAAGGGCAGCGTCAAAACGGAGTGCACAGGAGGGGGGGGGGGGGGGTGAGGGAGCAGGTGTCACCAGCTGACCGGGCCAATGATATCCTACAAAACTAGCTCCGTGTACGGGGATATTTCCCTTGCTAGCACGAAGGTGGTCGTTGAGGTAGCGGTATTTAGCGTGATGTACCTAGTTCAGGAAATGCACGAGTCTGACTGAAGGGGATGGCGGACAATGTTTATACGCCTGGATGAATGAATAGACAGTTGCAAATGTAGCTAAGGTCTTTTAATCATTTTTATGGCAAAAGCCAGGTTTATAAGCCTAAGAGTGTTAGGAAGTGTTGTGGTCATTAAGCGGCTACATGAGTCCTTGCCATCGGCATTAAAGTGTTCATTATGCCGATCATTTTCATACAAAAATAATGACGTGTAAAACAACCTTACTAAGTGATTGTGGTGAAAAAGAGCCTCACTGCGCTCGCCATCGAGATAACCCTGGTATGTGCAATGTTTTTGTTTTACCATTTTTATATTGCCTTTGCTGACCCTCGGTTGCTCGTATTTGGGTATAGCAAGTGATTTGGAAAAATACACGCGGCCAATTTGACCCCCGCAGCATTTGGAACTAAGAGAATTTGTGGCAGAACACAAAGCCTATTGACAGTGCAGTGTGACACTCCCTGCGCCACCTCAGGTCAACAAACCGCTTTTTGTCACCCCAGCAAAATAGAGTACATGATGAGGCGTAGTAGTTATGGTTTCGTGCTCTTTGGATCATCACGAGTGGCTCGTGATGAAACCACAACTCCCGCGTCGCTCCGCGGCCGTGCTTCTCCCAGGTATTGCCTTTCGGGCTGAGACACCCAAAGGTTCGAGGCACCGAGGTTCAAGGCCTGGACTCGTCCAAAAACCGACTGCTATCTGCGAGCGTCGGGTCCCTGCCGCCGCCTCAGCGACCGACCCTTCAACCCCGGGCGAATCGGGAGACCCGCAGTCACGTGACGCCCCCCGGGCACCCAGTCAGATGTAGAGCTCGGAAGACAGCGAGGGCGAGGGCGCACACCCCGCACAATAACAACACAGCATTTTAAACGCAACATTTGTTAGGGATGCATTGCTTGAACCGTTATGATGACCTTGATGTATGTGTTCGCCGAATTTATTCTGATTGTTGACGTGGAAGTTTCTGTTGTATTTTGTTAGCCTTTATTTCATGTCTTTGTAATGGCACACATGAGTTTAGCTCATACAAAACTATCTCCCAGCTACCAATGTAAATACCTCCTCAGCAAGTGCGTCCAGTCGCTTGGCTACTAGGGCAACTTAAAAGCCTTAAGTTATACAACGAAGCGGTGATCTAGTATCTCTCACACAGACGATGTGATTTTAGCAGTTTGATAAGATAAGAGGGCTCATGCCTTCAGTGCTCTTCCCCACGATGTTGGCGGTGCCTCAAAGCTTATCCGGGCTGGGTCAGGGGACGCCGCAACAAAAGATGCCAGGAACAAGAATCCAATGACAAAAGGAAGTTGATCACTCCTGACAAATGTGGCAATGCGGTGTAGCACCAGTAAATGCTTGGTTGGAAAAGTGAAAAAAACATCAGTGACGTCAGCGTTTTTCGCCCCCGTGATTGGCCGGACGGTTCGATCAGCCATGCTGACAACGACTGTGGAGGAATCACGTTCCTCGTGCATGTGACAGCCTACAGCGAGGCAACGTACGCCGAAAATAGGTTGATCTTGTGCTTGTGCCATACTGCAAAGAACGGTCGATCCAAGGTGAAACGGACAATACGCGGCGTCGGCCGCACCGCGCTGGTCGTGCGTCTGAAGACCACGGCCCCTGCCCCGGTGGCCTCGGTGCCTTCCTTCGTAACTTCGATGAGTACCTTGTGTACCATCTCGCTGACTTCCAGCCTCTCGTCACTGATGTTCCCGAACTCGGCCCAAGGGAGGAAGAGTTTCGTGATTCCTAGACGTTTCATGGTGTGTTTCAGCGAATAGTCCGCCGTTATCTTGAAACGAGGCATGCCAACACGGACACGCTGCCGCCTGTTGAGCTGTCGCATGGTATCAGCGATATCTAGGTAGCCCAGAGAATTGCGCAGACGTCTGACAGCAGCCATATCACGCATCAGGGGACGCAAAAGCAGCATGACATAGTCTTCATCCTTGTACGGCAGCGGTATGACATCAAACGTCTTTTTCTTGATGTAGGCTAGCACCGTGTACTGGTTCATCATATCGACCTGCTTCTCACCGGCATGGGTCAAAAACGGGCCTTTGACTGTTCGCTTAAACGTCTTCAGCCATTGGCCCTTGAAATAGAGTGCACTCACCAGCACCAGCCCTCTCTCTCTCAAACGTCTTCAGCCATTGGCCCTTGAAATAGAGTGCACTCACACACTCACCAGCCCCGATTCGCGCAGTGCGTGAGCGGAGATGAGGTCCGTGATGCGGTTTGCGGTCACCCTGGCCACATCGGCATTGATTTGGGCCGCCGCCCGCGCCTCCGAGGAGAACGTCTTGATGTCAGCGCCGTAGTACTGCCGCAGGAGAGCCATGAAGGTGAGCTTGAAGGTGCGGCCGTTGCGGAGGTAGATGCGGTTGAAGACGGCGGTGGTGACGTCCCTGCAGCCGCTGGAGAGCTCGTCGATGGCAGACATGTAGGCCGGCAGGAAAGACCTGTCGCTGGGCCCGCTCAGTCCCAGCACTGGGGTCATCTGCAGGCATATGGGACGCAGATGCTAATCGGAATCTCAGAACTGATGTGTTACTCTTTAGCGTGTTACACACTACGTGTGAACTGATCAAGCGTTTTATTGCTTTATTTTTCTTATGAATAGCTGTGAGGCACAAGTTGCCAGCCAGTTAAAAATATGGTTAGAACACCACAAAACAAATGTTTGCGATGTAAGCTCCATGGCATGGAAGTTAAATGATACCTACCATGTGTTTCCATCGTACTTGACGATAATAGATCCATCGACGGTCATAGGAGCGAGACTAGGCCAGCGAGAACACGAAAGCCGCCAATTATCCCAGCGGAATGAAACCAGAATCCTGACCGTGATACGTTTTCCATCACGTTGCATTGTTTATGGTCTTAACAAAAATATACAAGTGCAGAGTGCGCATTCCCAGCAGCGTACCTCGTTTTTGATGCCGCCCGTGGCTCCTACCCAGACCTGAGTCATGAGCGAGGACATGACGAACGGGGCGATGGCTTGGTTCTTGCTCAAATCGGTTGCCAGGCCCTCCAAGAGCTACAAGTCCAGGTTGGAAGGGACACCTGCTTCAGCCAATACAATAAAAAACAGCAGCACCCATGATGAACCTGAAAATAAAAACAAAGGTGAGACAAATTGTTTGCTGCTGGTTTTTCAGCGTAATAACTTAACAGATATCATGCTGCGTTATCGACCTGTACTAGGCCAGAAGGCAATGGTGGTTACATTGTCAATACTCGGCGTTTCAAACTGCGCTCAGAGAGAATGTTCCACATTTAAATATATTAAAGCAAGCATCAGATATGATGAAATAAGCTTACTTATAACCATTAGTATACTTTTAAGTGAAAAAATACTGCTCTGGACAACACAATCTCGCTTTCTAGCAGCTATGCCACTCAATGCGTCTTTGTTTAATGACAAAGTGTCATTTGTTTGATGACGTCATCGTGGCTTACACAACATTGAGAGCATTGAGGACTTTTGACAACCAGCGACTCCCTTAGACTTGACAGATTACAGAGCAGTACAGAGCAGCAGGACTAATCACCGGTACACTCCACAGAACACACACTCACGCACTGTTGGACGATTTGGAATGGGACACTCTCAAATCACGAAGAAACATGCCCAAACTGACACTGTTCCACAACCTCATACACAACCAACATCCACGGCCAACAAACGTCACTGCACTTCTACCTGACACACGAGCACTTGCAACAGGACGCCCACTACGCAATGCAATGACACATTATCACCGAACAGAACCTTAGCATACCAAAAATCCTATATTCCATCAACTACGAGAAGATGGAACCAGCTCCCGCTTGAGACGTCATCCCTCCAGTCTTCTCGTTCCTTCAAACGGGAAATATACCAGCGCTTCGGTTTGGCCGCGCCCCCGGTGTATCACAGCTTTGGATCCAGGCATGGTAACATCCTAAATACTAGGCTGATATTAGGAATGTCAGTACCTGAATGCCCACTTGTTCGTAATTCAAAATCCAACTACACCTAGTCCCTCTTGCTTATGTGGCTATCCATACGAAGACCCTTAACACTTTGTACTGAACTGTCCTCGCTATCATGAAACCCGAATTCCAATGCTACGTAAAACAGATTGTATCATTCCAAACTTTTCTGAGCTCACTCACAACGAGCAACTACGTATCTATCTCACAGGTAACGGTTTACAGGATCGCAATGGGCAGCACATGGCAATAATTTTCCAAACATTTTTTTTTCAGACCAAACGATTCGCCTAAGAACTTCCAGCCGGCGCGGGCAGCAGACGGGCTACTGGGTGGCGTTGTCGGGCCGGGCGTCCGCCGCCGGGTTGAGACGGCTGTATGCGTAGACTGGAGTGGCGGCGGGCGTCTGGCCCTTGTCGGCTTACGGATCGGGCGAGTGGGCGGTGTGTCGTGGGTTCCCTGGCGACGATGACCATATCTTGTTATTGTTAGGAGAGGCGCTCAGATTTAAGCGTTCCGCTTATGCGCCAATCCACTCATCATATCATGTACTGCTTAATGTCCATAATCGAAAAGTAAACATCAAATCAAATCAAATCAATGAACGTCCGATGTATTTGGAAATCGCGCTCACGAACGGTGAATATGAGGGACCTGATATTTACATCTTTACTGGCTTTGGTCGCCGCATGGCCAATGCAATTACAGCATTTCAGCGATGTTATTATTGCGTTATGGTTGCCTGGGCAACCCTGAAATAGTCTGCACGAAGAAGTCTGCACGTCTTTGCGGGCGCATAGCTCAGAAACTAGAGGGTCTTAGGTCTTAAGAAGGCTAGGGCTGTAAGCTCATCGAGTGATCCTCAAGATGGCTATTTCAGTTCAAACCCTGATACAAATGTGCGAAAACCCCCTTTAACATTACAAATACACTCGACCGACGTTCGTTTTGCAAATACTAGTAAGTGACTTTACAATTCTGTTAGGAAGGACAGTCAGCCATGTCACCTGCTTTGAACTTTAAAATTTAAATATTAAACGCATAAAAACACCCACTCAGATGCGCTTAAACCCACGGCATGATTCGCCGTTTTTTTCAAAGCGCGGACTGGATGAGGGTTTGGTGCGTTCTCAGTCTTTTACAAACTAGAATAGATAGAGTTTGGCGGGGAGCACCAGAGTGTTAACCTCAACAAGGCCTCGTGATTGAAACTACGTTGATGGTGCTAAGTCAATAACTGATGCCATTATGGCAGGTCAAAGGTTAAGCTTCTCAGAAAATCGAACTTTTTAGCGTTACATCATATCATTGAGGCCATGATTTGGAGCGATGCCAAACTCAAACAGGCGTGTTTCATGTTCCATGTCAAGTACAACAGTAATAGTTGTACCTGTTTTTTGGGGAACATTTAGGACACATCGCTCAGTTAATGTAGCAATGTCGGCCCACCGCGCGCGTTCTGAGACATCGTCGGTTGCAGCCCGCCGCCCGCACCGGCCGTGGATTGCCGTACATCTTCTTAAAAGAACGCCGATGCTCTAAAACAAGACAAGTAAAATCATGCGCAACAAATACTCCATAGGCTTCTGAAATCTAACCTTTATTACAAATGTGAGCGAGGTATCCTCATAACACCGTGGCGGGCGGGGGGGGGGGGGGGGGGGGGGGGGGAGGCTGCACCAACTCCCCTATCAGGGAGAGTGTTTAGGGCACACAGAACCTGAAAACCCAGAGTATCGGTTTTAACCTACCTTGCTTTGGACGCAACATGACCTGAACGCGATTGCCTGCCGATGAAGACTGCAGTAAATACGCTGATATATCTCCGTTAGCAGATCATTTACAAAACGACAGGAGCAACAGCCGACTAGAAGCACAAGTCCGCTCGGTGGAGCTCAGGCTCCACAGATGGTCAGCTGACGTTTGGGGCCCAACTGTCAGCGACCCGGGTGGTCGCTGTGCACGGGGGACTGCCGATGACCAGACGGTGGCGTCACGCGGCCTTTGTATGACATTTGTGATTCAGATGGTAGTGTGCCGCAGCGCCGCGGTACCGTCTAGTCGCCGGGTGATATGCAACAGGCGATTTGGTGACGCCTTGTATAGTAACAAAAAGCTGGAATAGCTTACACTTTAAACATAATTCACGTAAACAGATTTGAAAAGAGCCTGATGACAAGAGTCGAAACATCAATATAAGCGAGTCATACTCATGTGTTAACCTCAAGCGCCACTGGGTGGTTAGGGGGTGGACGGGGGGGCTAAGGTTTCAGCAAATTTCTGGAACAACTTCCGAGCCGTTTTGAGTCCACCAAGTTGTCAGCGCGTATCATTTAATTTATTTCACACGGTATGAGGAGCCCTTTTAGTGCTCGGCTGGGGACAGCATTATGGGGTCGTCAATGAGAGCATCCACACTTTTTGCTTCCACAGACAGAAGTTCACATATACCTTTCTTGGTTTAATTCACTTAGATGTGATTCAATGACTGGCTTGATTGAATGCGAATCAGGGTCAGTCATGCTCACGTGGTTCCACAGAATTACTAACAGAGGTCATGTCAAGTAATGTTGCACGTGAAAAGCCAAAGAGCTTTCGAAGCTTAGTTATTAAAAATAATGTGCATATTTGGCCCATGTAATACAACCACCTAGTCTTGTCATAACATGCCATGATGCGACAGTGGTCTAACCTTCGTTAACTTGCTAGCAGTGCCTAGGATTCGTGACTGGGTGTAAAGCAACACCCTATGAGGAGGAATTTCTCATGCCTTTTCCCCATATTTTATGCGAATTTTTCGCTCCTGCCTGACATTGTCTAGTCGCACATGCCAAACCTCTATTTCCCTTTCTGAGGTTTTTAGACGTCATCCAAAACCGAGCTCACTTGAAACCACCAATCGTAAACGATGCTCCACAGAACCTAGACACCTCTGGCTATGTCCTGCCTCACCTACATCTGAATCATGTCTATGCATGTACAGAGCAAGGGCGCCAGGTACCTCCAAGCCCAAGAATCCCGGCGACCCCAACCGCTTGCACGCATTAAGTTTGGTTTGTTAATAAAATGCATCACAATCTACAGCTGTGCACCAAATGCAAGGTTTTCACGCATCCCCTATTTTTTGGTATTACCACCACACCATGAAAGCAGAGCCTGGCGCAAACACCAACAAGGCCCGGTAGAGAAGTTTACTCTACATATTTTTCCCCGAGGAAACTTCCCCGGAGTGCCGTTTGCCGTATCGTTTCGGGCTGCCTTCGCAGGCATACACGATGTACAGTCGGCCGGCGAAGAGGCTGGCTTTTCATAGGTGCATGGCTTTCAAACAGCAGGTTGACAATGTCCTGCTCTATATCTTTGCTTGTTATGCACGATGAGTAGCATCCCGGAATGCTGGTCATCTCCAAGTTAGCTTCTCTCCCTGAAACATGCATTGATGTAAGAATTGACGGCGTGGTATCGTCCCTGCGGTGTACTTTTATGGCTTCTGATTGAGAAACAGTGCTTGCAACCAATACGTACCCGCCAAAGAGAGATTCAGACCATGCCACGACACGAAGTTGGTCAGTGTGTTATCAAATAGCATTATTCGCATAGATAACACAGCGGTGACAGCCTTATTCCCCACAGAAAAAAAAACAGGAGAGGGGAGATACGGATCGGAAGATATTGCGGCAACATGCCTTGTATGGAAAAAAATAGCGGAAGTGAATCGTGAAAGTGAATTTAATTTCACGTGAATTCACTACACGGACAACATTTCTACACTGCGAGCATAATGTGTTAAGCTAGGACAGAGGCGGTGCCGTAGGTTTTCAGTTGGGTGGCGGGGTAGGATTTTCCAGGGGCATCCTGAACAAAATATTGCTTCCTCGCAGGGCGTGTCATGGCTAATAGAGTGTCTAAGGGGAAGGGCATATAGGTCATATCCCTCCTCATCAAATAATTACATGCGTCATATCAAAATGCCACCCATAATGATGAGGAAGTGGCCTTTGAATGTATAAAAGTGGATCTGAGCACCCAAAAATTACCGACCGATTTTTAACTGACAAACATCAAAACATTCATCACAGAAAGAGCTAGAGTCCGTCAAAAATTCTGACCTCTCAAGTTCACCCTTAAGATCGAACGCGGGCTTAAAGGACGGGGAACTCCACACCGCCCTAAAATTACCGGCCGATTTTTAGCTTACAACTTCGAACGCTGGCTTAAAGGACGGGGAACTCCACACCGCCCTAAAACTGCCGACCGAATTTTAGCTTACAACTTTAACGTAATTACAACTTAAAGTCAATTTACCTTGAAGGGTGACCTCGAGAGGTCAGGACTTTCGGACGGACGCTAGTTCTTTCTGTGGTGAATATCCTGATGTTTGCAAGTTTGAACTTGGCTTTGCTTGGGTGATATGGAGTTCCCGCGGTCCAAGCCAGCGTTTGACATTGAAGGAAGACCTTGAGAGGCCAGGACCTTTTGAAGTACGCTATTTCTTTCTCTGCTGATTATTCTGATGTCTTTAAGCTTAAATTCGGCCGGCAGTTTTTAGATGACAAGAACTTATCCGCCCTTTGATCCCGCGTTTGACCTTGGAAGATGACTTTGAGTAGGCAGGACTTTTTGACGGACGCTAGCTCTTTTTGTGGGGAGTATTCTGAGGTTTGTAAGTCACAAATCGATGGGTTATTTTTGGATGAT